TTATAAACTCCAAACATCCATAACTTTAAATTAGTATATATATATATATATATATATATATATATATATATATATATATATATATATATATATATATATATATATATATATATATATATATATATATATATATATATATATATATATATATATATTATTTATATATATATTAAAAACTTCGGTTAACCGTTTGGTTAATTCGGTTAACCGACCTTTCGAACCGAATTAACCGTTAACCGAAGTTTTAAAATTCCTTTAACCATTAACCGAACAGAAAAAGTTCAGTTCGAAAACGGTTAACCGAACTTTGTCAGTTCGGTCGGTTAACCGAAAATTATCCATAGTTTGCACACCCCTAAATGAGGCCTACCTTTGTGCAGCCGACCTCTACCGGGTGCAGCAAGTTCAGAAAGGAATCTGGGAGAACCGTAAGAGCTTGCTTGAAGGAAGTGTCGCACCTGTGGTTAGGAGTTTGACGGTTACCAGTGCTGAATCAACCAGAAGTCTACAAAGAGACGGCTCTAAGAGTGGTTATACTCCCCAGCCAATCCGGAACAACAAGGCTAAGGGAAGGCACTCCGGTTACAAAAAGTGTGGAAGTGGCTTCCCCGGCGTGGACTGTCATGGGAAGCCGGTAGAGTGCTTTGCTTGTGGAAAGAAGTGTCACTGGTCCTTTGAGTGCATGTCTAAGAAGAAGACTTCAGCAAGCCCGAAACCAGTTGTTAGTGTGAGACCCCAGTCAGGAAGTAAGTTTCGAAGCGGAATCAACGGTGGACAAAGTGGAAGAAGTAGCCAAGACCCGTGTGCGAAGTCGAGACCTCGGCGATGCAAGATCCGCAGTCAGGAATCAAACACAAGTTGAAACCGATGAAGTAAGTGCTTGTACCTTTTTGTTGCGCCCTTTTTGCCTTTGTGCTCTTCCTTGCGTGCTAGCTTTGGTGTTAAGTATTAAGGCCTTAGCTTCGGTTTTAGCTAGTTTAAGGGTCAGCTCCGACCTTGGTTTTTGTTGGAAGGGTTCGGTAGTGCTTCGTCGTGAGAGTTTCCCTCGGAAGTTGTAAAGTTGGTTGTTCTATCAGCACATGAAGGAAGTCCGATAAAGATCTTCGTTTGAAGTCGTGCCAGGATCGAAGAAGAGATCTGTCAGTTGGTCAAAAAGGTCGTAAGCAGCTTGTCCAGTAGAAGGGATCGCCTACAGATCAGATCGATATATGTTTGTGTATCACTCTTTTGTCATTCCCTGTTTTTGTCAACAGTACTGGTGCGTAGAAATTATGGTGTATACAGTTTAATATGGCGTGAGGAAGGAGATGGAAGAAAGTGGGGAAATGATAGTTTTGCCCTCATTATTGACATCCAACTAACGAATAAATTAACAGAGGACTAAATTAGGTAAATATTGCATAGTTGAGGACTTAATTGAGTAAGAATGATAGTCGAGGACCAAATTGGTAATTACAACATAGTCGACAGTCGTTATATCGTGGACCGCGGTGCATAATCGATTATGCACCGCGCATCAAAACGGCGCCGTTTCTTTAAGTAAAGAAACGACACGCTATTAGTGTTAACGGAGTGAGTGTATCTAAACCGATACTGCCTCACGTATTATTTTTATATTACCAAATGAAACTACAGTTATATCAAAATGATATTCTAGTTGTGGTGAAATGAAACTGAAGTATATATAAAATGAAACTGAATAACATTTCACATATTTGAGTGTATATTGTATAATGAAGCTATAATTATATCGAAATGATCATGTAGTTGTGTTTTAATGAAACTATAGTATATATAAAATAAAATAAAATAACATTTTCACATATTTGAGTGTATAAATATTGAATGAAACTGTAGTTATATCAAAATGAAACTGTAGTTGTGTTGAACTAAAACTGCAGTGTATACAAAATGAAACTGAAGAACAGAATTATTTTTTGCGGAACGGTGCAGAACGGCACGAAACGGATTTTGTTTCTTTTCATTAAATAAAACGATGTCGTTTTGATGCGCGGTGCATAATCAATTATGCATCGCGGTGCACGATATAATTTGTCCATATTCGAGGGACCATTTTGGTTATTAACTCAATAAATTATCTTTGATTAACTCTAGCTCCTAACGATGTTTCTTTGGGTACGTACAAAGCTCCAAACGATGTTCTACGTGGCTAAATTTGAATAATACATGTTTTTTGTTTCATGAATATGAGCGTTTGATTCTGAGGAATATAATAATATATTAATATCGTACGTGTTTGGCCATGAATTAATTTGGGTTATGTATAATGGTGACTACCATGCAGGCATGCACGCAATATATATGATACAAAATAATTAAATATCCATCAGCTAAACCTTTCCTTATGGGGTAAGTATGCATGCATAAAATATACTATAATACATTAAAAAAACATACATGCAATCAAAATGTGTTAACTTAAATAAAATTAAAGGGTACGAGTCACTTAAGTATAGCAAGTCTAGGCAACTAAAATATGATGATTCTAGTAAGAAAAGTATAAGTCGCTTAAGTATGAGATTAGAAATTCGTATATAATATGTGCGTATGTATGTAATAATATGAGATCAAGTTACTCCCGATTAACAGGATGCAAATGTAATGTTGTATGAGAAAAAGTAGAGTTAATACCATCTAGGGTCTTCCGAGTATAATAGTTTTTTTCGCGTGTAGTTTATCTTAACTTTTAAATCGACCACCCGTGGTCTTTTGACTTTTAAATTCTTCCATCTATTGTCCAAGTTAATCATCCAAGTCCTTCAATTATCAAATTTTAACCACCCATAATCCTTCTAAGAGGACCATGGCTGGTGAAATTTTGAAAGTTGAAGGATCATGAGCGATTAACTTGGACCACAAATGGTAACAATTTGAAAGAAAGATCACATATTGTTAATTTAAAAATTTAGAACTAAATATACCAAAATCACTGTACTCGGAGGATCCATATGGCATTACTATTAAAAAAAAAATGCTTGCATGCATCCCTCTAAAAACTAGATATATATTGAATATATTATCGAAATAGTCTCTCGATTATGTTAATTTTTTTTTTTCACTTTAGAATTTAAACATGCATGCATGAAGCCATGAAGGTAGCTATCTAGCTTTACAAATTTCAGTGTATTTCAAATTTGCAAGTCATCTATATATCATGATCATCTAGCATTACATGGATTTCCTTCAATCGTTAAAGTTTAATTTAATTTTCCCAATATTCCTTGACTAAAATATCCTCCAAGTGCTGAGCTTTAGCCATCTGGCAAACGATTATCATCACTTCATCTGTACACACATGCATACAGATAACATATATGAGTGATTCACGTTAATATGTTTGGTCAAATTCTAATATTCTATAAGTTATGTAGATGGAGTTGATAAGTTATGCATATCATTAAATAAGAAGAATATTCACAGACTAGCGTAAGCAATACACTTTTATGATGCCATGTCACTATGTCAGAGAGAAGAAGTGAAAGAAGAAAGGATTGCCACCACAAATATGAATTAATGATTTTGAATTGAGGTATTTGGTAAATGATGAATACTTTAATTTTTAATTGATTTATGATTTCAGTCTGGTTAAGTTAAACAATTAAGGTTATCATTTTTATTTTTTTTTGGATATTTTCAGGGTTTCAACCGTCAAACCACCTCTTTTGGGGGAACAACGGGCCGTTAGCACAATGAATTCCCCGCTGACACTACAAGAAAAATGCACATAGACAACGGTTATTGACCGTTGTCGTAGGGGTATACTTTCTGTTGTTGAAGCCGGTGTTGTTGTAGGTCCTGCTCATAGACAACGGTTTTTTAACCGTTGTCTTTTCTACCAACGACAACGGTTTTTTAACCGTTGTCTATTAAGTGTTGTTGAAACCGGTGTTGTTAAAAGTCACGCAATAGACAACGGTTATTAACCGTTGTCTTTTCTACCAACGACAACGGTTTTTTAACCGTTGTCTATTTAGTGTTGTTGAAACCGGTGTTGTTAAAAGTCACGCAATAGACAACGGTTATTAACCGTTGTCTTTTCTACCAACGACAACGGTTTTTTAACTGTTGTCTATTTAGTGTTGTTGAAACCGGTGTTGTTAAAAGTCACGCAATAGACAACGGTTATTAACCGTTGTCTTTTCTACCAACAACAACGGTTTTTTAACCGTTGTCTATTTAGTGTTGTTGAAACCGGTGTTGTTAAAAGTCACGCAATAGACAACGGTTATTAACCGTTGTCTTTTCTACCAACGACAACGGTTTTTTAACCGTTGTCTATTAAGTGTTGTTGAAACCGGTGTTGTTAAAAGTCACACAATAGACAACGGTTATTAACCGTTGTCTTTTCTACCAACAACAATGGTTTTTTAACCGTTGTCTATTTAGTGTTGTTGAAACCGGTGTTGTTAAAAGTCACGCAATAGACAACGGTTATTAACCGTTGTCTTTTCTACCAACGACAACGGTTTTTTAACCGTTGTCTATTAAGCGTTGTTGAAACCAGTGTTGTTAAAAGTCACGTACATAGACAACGGTTTTTAACTGTTGTCTTTTCTTTAAAAGACAATAGTTATAAACCGTTGTCTATTGGGTGTTGTTGAAACACCCATAAACTGTTGTCTTTTGTAGAAAAGTCAACGGTTTCTAACTGTTGTCTATTGTAAAATAGACAACGGTTTTTAACCGTTTATCACCTGCTTAAATTATAATCGTATAAAAAAACAATTTATCCATTCACCATAAATTGCAAAGTGTAGTTACATAATTGTGCACAAGCTAATAAGGTTCAAAATAACAAGTAAAAAGACTTCCATGACCAATTCTAATTATCATTCAAGTCATAATACTACTACACAAAAAACAATTCCCCGAACCAATTCAAGTCTAGATGATCACAACGTTCGAATGACCAAATGATACCTACTCTATATGACTTGATAGAATATCAGCCCATTCAGATCGCACCAGATCAATAACCTCTTTGTCATAATCAACTTGTTGAAACTACATGTAAAAAGTAAGAAAATAAATTAGTATAGATATAAATAATTTGCAATGAAATGAAACTGCCCTCTTACTCTCACCACATTCATACTCAAGGTGTTCATAACAAGATAATGAGTTTCCTAAAGAGAATCATAACAAGTGTAGCCAACAAGTAAAGAAAGACACTTGAAAAAGCAATACATCAAGCACTAAAATGCCCAAAATTTCGAGCTTTCACACGCATTCTACACCCAAATTTCAGAGCAACAAACTTATTCTAAAAAATAAAAAATAAAAATCAAATTTATCATCAATAACTGTCCAAATCAAGTGAAAAAGAGAGAGGCTTAAACCCAAGCTAACAAAGCATTAAAACCTAGAACCATTCTGCAATTAAATAACAGCGAGAAACAAGGAAGAGAGAGTAGAAATGGAATGTAATACCAGTGCTTGAACAGAATTTTTATCATCGAAGTCTGGCATATTCTCAATTAAAGTTTTCATGTACGCCATGACAAAGAAACCGCATTGGTTACTATCCGGTTGACGAGGAGCCTACAAATGTTAAATAATATTTGCATTACAATTTAGCTATATACAAACACTTATATAGTTAAAAAAATGAAATTACCTTGACAATTTCCCAAGTAGTTTTACTGCGTCCTTTCTTTGCATTCGTAGTGGATGCATGAACCATTTTAATAGCCCTTCATATGTATATATATATATATATATATATATATATATATATATATATATATATATATATATATTTGATTATTCAGATTATGTAATAATAAATCGAAAGAATGAAAATAAAAAAAAATAAAAAATAAAAACTTACATTTCTACAACACGCTTCCAATCATCATCGCGAATGCGATGATTAAGAGGGTCCCACACATAAACTAAGTCCTTAGTGATGTTGATAACTGTCAGAATCCAATGGAAGCTATGCACACACAAACACATAATTATATATTACATCAACACAATATATGCAATTGAAAGTAAATTGTAACCATTCTTACCCTATATTACATGGCACCAATTGTAAACACAGTATAGCTCTATTAACTTCGTCATCATCACACAACTCCGTCGACTACAGGCAAGAAGATTTATAAATGTCAAACTTAGGGTGAAAATGTGTTGAAGTTAATAATAGTGAAAGTGAAATAATAATTACTTACAATTTCACTAGCTAGCCGGGCATATCCTTTACGAGCAAGCCGATGTGGATAAAGGTTTTTCTTTCTTCTTGACTTTTGTAACTCGCTCACTTTCTACGGTCGGCGACTGGCAAAAACCCCACCGACACGGACGAGTTGTTAGCGGAGACTGGCGGTCGGAGAATAGCGGAGACCTTTGCGTAATTGTGTCTTAGAGGGAAGACAAAAAATTCCCAATTTTGTCTTAGAGGGAAATTTTGACTTAGGGGAAAATTTTAATTTGCCTTAGCTTAATTAGAGGGAAATTTCGTAACAAAATATTAGTTTAATTACTCGAGTCGCTACATCCGGTCAATTAAAATAAAACTGGGTATATAGGTACAGAACACGAAATTCATAAATTTCTATAATGTAGATTCATAATTTCTATACAGTATATTTCTAATTTAAATACAGTTGTATAGATTAATAATTTTTATACAATAAATTCATAATTTCTATACTGCATATTCATAATCTGTATTCTTGATTCACAATTTCTAAAATGTATAGTTATAAACACTTGGGAATATATGAACATCGCAAATTATAAACACAAAGTTCTGTAATTGTGAATATAGATCAGAGTTATTCAATAATTATGAATATGCATTTCAATTCAAAAATTATGAATATATAGTTTGGTAATTATGAACATATATAGAGCTAATTAATTAAGATCGCGGCAAAAGAAATGGGATATAGCAAACTGTACGGCATCGATCAACTATACTCTTTCATATCTATTCTCAACGTGTTCCAGGCATGTCGGAGGGGTCGATTACGTACAGTTTCGACCTTGTTAGTCTTGCGCTAGCCGGAAGGGTCGATTACCAACACATAGCTAACCTTAGCTTGTTAGTCATGCGCTAGCCGTAAGGGTCAATTACCAACATATAGCTAACCTTGTTAGTCATGCGCTAGCCGGAATAGTCGATTACCAACCCCGTCCCCTATCATATATACCACCCTAAACCCCTACACATCATATATACCGCACCATTATGAACATACACCACCCCATATTGTTTTTTATACTTGATAATTATTATTATTATTTTGAATTCATAGATTGGCCTTTATTGTAATATAATTGAAAATAAAACTTTAATGAATTTACTTTGAAATTTTGGTGAATAATTTTATATTTAATTAAATATGAACGAAAATAGAGCTATTTTGGTAATATACTATATGTTGCGCTTGAATACGTAAGTGTTGTGGTGGCTTGGTGGGTTTAGCTTAGTTTATTATGTTAGAGGTCTCAGGTTCTATTCTTCCTGGGGGGAATTCTTCAACTATTATCATCTAAAATAGTTGTCTTGGTTTTCACAAACAACACAGAAGAAACCCAGTTATATACCACATGTTGCACCCTAAGATATAAAAGTTTGTGTTGTGTAGTTGGTAAAACCTTGTATTTGTAAAGCACAAGGTCATAGGTTCAATTCTTCTAGTTAACTTCTTTGTTTTTATTTTATATACATGTTATATAATGATGCGCAACGACAACGGTTTTTTAAAACCGTTGTCTTTATAGTGTTGTTTATTCAAATACACTTAAAGACAACATATCAAAGACAACGGTTAAATAAAACCGTTGTCTTAAACAAATAAAGAACATGCAAAGACAACGGTTATACAAAACCGTTGTCATTTTAGTGTTGTGTATTCGAGTGCGCTTAACGACAACACACCAACGACAACGGTTAAATAAAACCGTTGTCTATTTTTTAAAAAAGACCGCACAAAGACAACGGTTGTTTAAAACCGTTGTCTTTCTAGTGTTGTGTATTCCAGTCCGCTTAAAGACAACACACCAACGACAACAGTTAAAAAAACCGTTGTCTTATTTTAAAAAAAACGCACATAGACAACGGTTTTTAAAAACCGTTGTCGTTGTGGTGTTGTCTTTTCACAAAATGCACAAAGACAACACACTTATAACAACGGTTAAGTAAAAACCGTTGTCTTTGACAAAAGTGTTGCATCAAAGACAACGGTTTTGGACCAAACTGTTGTCTTTTATACAAAAGACAACACTTTTCTTAAAAACTGTTGTCTTTCTAGTGTTGTCTATGTGCATTTTTCTTGTAGTGTGAATTGTAGGCACCTCTTTTGGATGGGACAACTAGCCTGGAGATTTAAGACTGCTCCATTCCCAAAGCCAAAAATCGAACCATTTACCTTTGGTTAAGGATGGATGAGTCTATTCCACTTAACCACACTTTCCAGATTAAAATATTGAAAATAGGAGTGTTCGGACAATCACTACTACAGAAATGATATACTACGTCAATTAATAGAAGGCGGTTTTTAAATAACCGCCTTCTAATATATATTGTTATACTAAGGCGGTTTTGTAAATAACCGCCTTCTATTATATACTACATCACTTAATAGACAGCGATTTTAAATAACCGTCTTCTATTACATACTACGTCACTTAATAGACTGCGGTTTTTAAATAACCGCTTTCTAATATATACTTACTACGTAACTTAATAGACGGCGATTTTTAAATAACTACCTTCTAATGTATACTTACATCACTTAATAGACGGCAGTTTTTATATAATCGCCGACTATACAAGTAAATTAAAGATTATATAGCATATATCTTAACATTAGACGGCGGTTTTTAACCGCCGTATATATGTAGTATACACGGCGGTTCTAAAAACTGCCGTAAAAAATATTTATATACAACTACAGTCACTTATACGGCACTTCAAAAATCGCCGTGTATTTGTAAAAATAACCGCCTTCGTAGCTCTTTTCTGTAGTAGTGAATTAACAGATTGTGTTAGTTGTTCTAATCAATTAAAATTTATAGAAAAATGTTTGGTGGATTAATTATTTACTATTAGTACAGTTGTCAATTACTAAAATGTCATATAAAAACATGAATCTACCATCTAAAAAAAATTATTTAACTATTCTTAATTTTTTTTTTGATAATCATTCTTAAATTATTTTTAGTTATATATAAATTTAAAATAATTTAAATATAAAAATTATTATTATCATTTCCATAAATATAAAAAGGCAAAAACTTGTGTGATACGGACATGGGTCGGGTTAAGATTGACTATAATACTTATATTAGCAAATTTAATACATACTAACTTAGGAATAAAATGTTTATTATTTATTGAAAAATGTAATACTTTTGAGAAAAAATATAATACTTTTATATTTTGATTAAAAGTATTACATTTTCCTTTATAAGTACAACATTAATTAGAAGGGAAAATATAATAATTTTTATGAAAAAAGTAATACTTTTACATAATTATTTAAAAGTATTACATTTGTCCTCAAAGGTATTATTTTTCCCTTATAAGTAATTTTTACTATATGTTTTATACTTTCTCAAATATTTTTATCCCAAAAAATATAAACTCCCATCCATCACCGGAATTTAAACCTATGACCACTCATTTGGAATGATAACCAAGATGTCATTACACTGGGGGTAGTAGACATTGTATCTTTATTTTAATTGCATCTTAAGAACACAATTTTCTCCTTTAAGCTACCAACTATTTCCATAACAACTACAATAATAGTTTTAAATTTAAATTATTATACAAATTTATATAAAATTATATATAATATTTTTAAAAAAGAAAAATATATTTATATCATTATCAATTATTTTAAATAATATTAACTACTAAAATTAAACAATTAATTTATTAAATAGTTTTCTACTAGTAGTTAATGTTCGTGGTGAATAAGTCTATATACCTATATACCTATACCTATACCTATACATACATATATACATACATATATATATATATATATATATATATATATATATATATATATATATATATATATGATCAAATGATGATCTATCCTTAGGTGAGGACAAGGGAACTTATTTGTTCCATTCGTTTAAATAAGCCAATGGCTGTGAGCCTGTGATTTAATTTTACTCAATGGATTTCATTTCTCGTACTCAGTTGTTGTGCATTCATACTCAGTTTGTTGTGCATTCATTCTAAGATTATTGTGCATTCTTTCCCAGTTTGTTGTGCATTCAGTCCCAGTTTGTTGTGCATTCGGTCCCAGTTTGTTGTGCATTCATATTGTGACTGTGCATCCATTCCAGTTCGTTGTACAGTCCTTTTTTGTTTTTTATAGCCGTTCGATCACTCCAAATGGATGATCTAGATTAGTCTTCAAGTCCTCACCTTATCCGGAACCTATATACATGATATTCAACACAACTCATAAAAGATCACAATATTCAACTAAGAAATAAGTAATTAGTGATTCATTCAAGATTAAAAGCTCTTTAAAAAAAATGCATATATAACACCTACGGTCTTAAAGCTTGAAGGCACAACAATGCACTCTAGAAGAAGCTAAGGGACAATGTGCACAGGAACTCTGTAAAGGCAAAAATAAGCATGGTAAGTTAAAAAAATATGAAATAATTTATTGAAAAGACTAAATTGAATGCATGATCTTCAACACAAATCATAAACGATCACAATATTCAACTATAATTAGTAATTAGCTATTCATCCAAGATCAAATGATCTTTATACACACACACACACACACACACTTACACAAAATTACAGAGTGCCACCACATTGTTTTTTAAATTGCTTCTTTCTGAACGTTGATTTGAACTGAATCAATTGATGAGATTAAACCAAAATTTTCACCTAAGCCTTCGTTTTTACTTGATCCGTTATATATATATATATATATATATATATATATATATATATATATATATATATATATATATATATATATATATATATATATATATATAGGGTGAAGTTCACATGAGGACAGTGATATATAGAGAATTGTGCGGACAAATAATGGGCACACAACAAATTAGTATCATGCACATAATTTAATAAACAATGGCACACTAAGCATACATTTAAACATCATATTTGAACCCAAGCTCTATTAATTAATAAACCTATGCACACGACATGCTATTATGGCACATGACTACATTAGGCCATGTTGACTCAAAGACCTTGTCAAAGTTATGTGCAAAAAGGATTCCAGTTCTATGAAGGAATACTATCCTAAAAGGAATAGATACTAAAGAATACTAGTTCTAAGAGGAATTGTAATTGAAGATCTTCTAGTTCTAGGTTGATTAGGAATAGCATTATTATTCACAAATCTGTTAGAAGTAGCTACTATAAATAGGGGTTGTCCTTTATCACAAAGATCAAGCATTCAACATTGATCTAGTGAGGTATGAGAGCCTTTAAGAATAGGGAACTAAATTCCCCTAGAAAGTAGTACATGTGTTTAGGTTTCAATAGTTTGGTAGGAAAGATCATTCTATTGTGTAATCTCAGGTTCCAAACAGTGTACTTTAAATATTAAGCTTTTAGTGGATTTAGGCAAATTCTCAAATTGAGAAGTGCCTCGCAGATTAGGGTTGTTTGCCCGAACTGCGTTACAGATCGTTTGTGTTATAACGTCAGTTTCAACATCATTGTGTGCTGCGCTTATATATATTTCAATTGGTATCAGAGCCAAACTGCTTAAGTTACTAGCAGGATCCTAATGAAGTTTCCAAGAAAAAGACTATCAAACACAGAAGGGATACAGTGCTATGAGTGCAAAGGGTTTGGACACATCCAGTCAGAATGTCCAACATACTTTAAAAGGAAGAACAAAACATATGTGACAATACTAAGCGATGCCTCAGACAGTGAAGAAGATACCAACACTAATTTCGTAGCATTCACCACACATCATGAGAATGACAACGGAAACGAAAATGATATACAAGAACTGTTAGAGTCATATACACAGCTGCATGCTAAATGGGAACAAATCATCAAAGTAAATCTTGAACTCATACATGAAAATCAGTTTCTAAAAGATGAAGAAGAGGGTAATGAAAAACGCCTTAAAGATACTCAAAATGAATTAGTGGAGTCGAAAGGCAGAGAGGCCAAACTGTTACAAGAGATCAAGGCACTAACTGAGAGGCCTAGATCTCTAAATCCAGCATCTAATGAAAGTCATTCTTCTGAAATTCCTGAAGTGTCGCAACATCACTTCCAACACCGAAGGAGGATCAGATGTTATTACTGTCACAAACTTGGGCACATAAAAGCATACTACTTCAAAAGACAAAATGATCTGTATTACAGACAAATCAACAGAGATTGGTCAGTACAAAGCAAGAAAATCTAGGTAAGAAAAGATCAGAATGTTGCCTACACCTAAAAAACTAGCAAAGAACAAAACGTATGGTATTTTGACAGCGGGTGTTCAAGGCATATGACTGGAAATCCAGAAAATCTGGAAAATATTCAGTATAAGAATGAAGGACATATTACCTTTGGAGATGGAAGAAAAGGCCAGATCATTGCAAGCGGCATCTTGAATGTCCATGGGCTGCCTAGGTTGCCAAAAGTCCTCCTAGTACAATGTCTAAAAACAAATCTAATCAGCATAAGTCAGCTTTGTGAAGATGAACTCAAAGTAGAATTCTCTAATTAAAGACAATTGCACTGTGTTTAATCAGAATCAGAAGTCTGTCATGATGGGAAAAAGGTCCGCAAACAAATGCTATACATGGGATGGTGACCTATCTAGTTTACAAACAACCAACAAGCAAAAACAATCACGGCACCAACATATGGACACACAAATTCTCATGACATCAAAGGGGACAAAGAAATATTCCTAGACTATTCAGGTTATTCATCAAACAGTAAGACTTTCAGTGTAGACAATACAATGGGGAATCCATGAATGTGGTTATTAATGACACAATTTCAAGAATAACCACTAATGATGACGGAAATCCCAGAGTTGTTGAAACAACTGTTCCAACACCTCTGACTACTGTTATGCAGAATCACAAAACAGAAACAGAACCAGATGAAGAAAAGGATGATGGCTCTGCAACGATCATTATGAGCCCTGTTCTGATTTCACAGGAACCCTACCAAAATATTCAAGACGAACGCGAACCACCTCCAGCCTGTTTGTGCGAGACAGCCCTGGAGGGCGAGGGTGGTCGGGCGGTGGCAACAGAGCGTTTTCCGGCGATGATTATGTCATCAGAAATTGGAGAAATTCCAGTTTCGTCTAGGTTATCCCATGAAGATCAGATCAGATATTTTAAAGATCATTTGGAAGAGCTTTCACCGGATTTTGTGCTATTTCCAGAAATTAATGATGGCGCAGAGTTAGTATGTTCAAAATTTGGTCAGGAAATCTAGATGCGATCGTAAGGCAGAAGAGACCGATTGATGGAATCTCAGTGGATTCATGTTTGCATGGCCAGAATACATCTCCGACTAAAAGAATTCTCGACAGATTGTCTCATCTTTGGCGTCGCGCTCCTCCGATGTGCAATTTCCCTTCGGGGTGTCGCGATTGAGGAGAAGTGATGAAATCAAAGGCGTTGGCGGTAATAACAGAGGAAGAATAAATCAGAGGAGAAGTTAGTTGTGATAGGCTGATTTAATTGGAAATTTTTTTTTAAAACAAATCATACTCAAAGATAGCACTCACCAATAACAGAGATACATGGAATCAGTTAAAGGGGAAATGAGTCAAATGCCAAGCTTTTTATGGAATCAAGGATTTTGCCAAAAATTTGAAAAAGGGGGAGATTGTTGACTCAAAGACCTTGTCAAAGTTATGTGCAAAAAGGATTCCAGTTCTATGAAGGAATA